AATTTGACTCTTAAATCAGCCCAAGAGCCAATGACAACCCTCTACATGCAATAGAAATAGTCAGCCTAACACATATGCAGCTGTTCTTACTTGCCTCATCTCACCACACCAGCTTGAAACAAGCAATGCCTCAGCCCACAAGCTGATACTCCAAACGGATTACGCCCAAACCTCCCCCCCTTGCGGAATCTCTAGTGAACGCATATATCAACGTACAGAGATGGTAATGGTACCGTTGGATAGCTCAGAATGTCAGCTTTAGGATGAGACTAAAAATCGGAAAAGCCAAACCCGTCGATTTTGGACCGACATCGTCCCCTTAAAGCTCGCAAATGCTAAGCATTAAATAGACGCAGAATTATTTAATATACATTCTTGATTGCGGGTAATCTTTACTTCAATAAAGTTATCATGTATGATGTTGTAAATTTTCATTTTCGGTCATCATTGTAAATTGTTCTAATCGTCTAACACGGTTGTGTATAGTCAGGCGAGTCGAACACGGCGGTAGTGTCACGTTTAGTCCACTATCAAGAATATCAAGATTCGTTGGTATTCATCACAACGTTATGACAGGTTTTCATATCTCATTACTAATTTAAATTATTCAAAAACGACTAAATAACACTTGGAATTCACCAAGTTACATAATTTTACAAGGAGCAAGTGTAGCGGAAAAAGCTACATCTAAACCCTTCAAGGTCTCTGAAAGCGGGCCCTACGGTTCGCGGACGATTGAAACGACTTAAGATGAAGTTCAGGTCGATGTTTACTTTAGAGATTTGCAGAAATTAACGACACTTGAGTAGTTCAGATAACGTAGAGCGTTAAAAAGGCGTTATACTAGAAATACAGCAATGATGATGTTAAGGATTGGATAGGATGTATATTTGTCATTTTGTATTAGAGAGTTTGACGTGACCTTGACCGAATAGCGGAACCTGATTTAGTCTTGTGTTTGTCGTCGATGTGAAAGGTACGTCACGTGTAAATAGGAACAGTGGATGCTAGGTTTACTATCGTTTGTCATGCGTGCAATTTGTGTATATATATGTGAAATTTTTAATGCTTAGATTTCGTGCGTCTGATTACGATCAATATTTATGTTCATATCGATTCTTTGCTAGATATTTATTCTTTTTTTTTGTATTATTTTCAGGAGTCTCAGTAATAGTCTCGATTCAGGCAATCATCTCAGTAATAGGCCTGATTCAAGAGACCATCTCAGTAATAGTCTCAGTAACAGTTCAATTTCAAGTCATTAGTTCTCGGTGTACATACTTGTCAATAAAGTTTATTAAGAAACCTTGTTCTCACGGTGGCTAATGGATGGACCTGTACGATCACTTGGCTGAACAATGCAGGGACGAAGATGGCTTTATTTTCCTTTTTGTTGGAGTGCGTCCTTATAGCAATGGACACAATAATGATAATAGTGATACGGCTCGCGACTAGCTATAAACAGACTACTTCCGAAGACAGTTCGGTTAGTTTATTTTCTTATTCAGTTGTATTTCGAGGAGTGCGGCGGCTTGAAACCTTGAACACAAACCGAGGCCAATATCTGGCCCGCTACACAAGGACTGCAGGAAATAAAAAGAATATACGCGAGAGATAGAGTATTTGATGCGCGATTGTACCTTACCATCCGGACTACGGTTAATTGAGAAAGCAACGGAATCAGGATTTTGATTGGTCGCGATATTGAATAATCATGATCTATCGATGTTTGGGACTTTTCTCGTATAAATGATTTATCTATTTGAAGAAGTTTGGAGCATGTTAGCAATTTGAGGGCGGCGGTTATATAAATTACTTATGATTCCTCTGGGTACAGCGGAAATACCAGACAGAAAATTTAATGACGCAAGAATCAAAGGCAAGAGCAGTTTTCACGCACGAGCTGAATTACTTGAAGAAATATTAGGAGTTCAATATTACTTATTTTCATTGGATTAGATGTTTGGTCTCACAGGTACGACGGTTGCTGTAGTTGCTGTCTTATAGGAATCACAAGAGCAGGAAATATCGACTCCGCTGGGTGACATTACCTTACTGTGAACGCAGTCTGCGGAGGAGAGTTGTTTAGCCGCTGTCTTGAATTAACTGATATTATACCCGTTTCAAACTCGTGTTTACTTGCCACTTGCTTCATTGTTGTTGCGGGATATCAACAAAAATTGGCTATCCCGACGGGATATTGCAATAAATCGACGCAAAAACTCTGGTAGAAGGCCAGTAAACGAAGTTAAAATCTACGTTATAAATCTTTATTACGAAAGCCAAAATAACACTAATCCACGATGTTCAAAGTTATGAACACGGACAGTTAAAATACTCTACGCTAGGTACACACAGACGGCTAAGAATGTCCTCCGCTAGGCAAACACAGACGCTTGGAATATCAAACGCCAGGTAACACAGACGGCTCGGAATATCATACGTCAGGTAATACAGATGGCTTGGAATATCAAACGCCAGGTAACACATAGACGGCTCGGAATATCATACGTCAGGTAATACAGATGGCTTGGAATATCATACGTCAGATAACACAGACGCTACTTCCGAAATTCCATGGGACACAAAGCGGGCGGCCACTCCCCATGCCGGAAGCTAAAGGAGTGAGAGAACAGACTCGACACACTGGCAGTAACCAGCGGAACCCTGGTCGACAAGAGAGTGTCGAGCTGCGCAGCTACATTGTGGCGCCGTGCAACATGGCTAGTCTGCTCCTATACATAGCGATTCAAATGCTCCCTCCTTCCCCTCATAAAGGGGGAAGGGAAATGGTATTTTTTTACTTGCCACTTGCTTCATTGTGCCGCGTTGATACATGTCTTGTTCGCACATATACATAGCGTACAGCGATTCAAATGCTCCCTCCCTTCCCCCTTAAATTAATGTAATGGTTAGGCGATTCTCCCGAGGCTCTGTGGGCTGAGATCAGAGAACTCGGTCAAAAGTTGCGCATATAATCCACTGCAAATAAAAATCAATCAGAATGTCCTCCTATTTAGAAGCATTATGATATTACCACCAGCAATATTTTATTCCATTCACTACATTTTTTAACTTTGTTCATCTTTAATATCTACTTCGAACAGTCTCAGAGGTCAATGTGATGGATTGAAACGAATGCTTATTAGTTTGGTGAAATATTCTACTTGTAAACTGCTTGTTTAATTATTTCATTTGAGTTTGTTGACTGAACAACAAAATTGACGAAGAAAAGGGAATTGAAAACAGTGACATCATTTGCAAGCAGAATAGTTTAGTATCTCCGGAATTTCAGTACGTGATGTGCATACACATCTTATCCATAATTTATACTCTGACAATCTGGATTAATATAAATAATGCAAACGTTTGTTTGTCAATAAAGCAGATGCAAATAGCACGATTTATCTGCTATTATTTTTTTTACAAATGTTAATGGGGGTTCTATGCATCGTATGCTTTACGCAGGCACGATTATTAGGGCAATGGTTTGCTATGTTCGGTGTCCATGTAAATAGTTCGGTTGGCGTTAATGAAACCAGACATGCTCACTAACTCCGAACCGGTGACAACAGCTGATTTTTTATTTAAGGTATAAATTTCCATTATTAAATCATAGGACTATTTAAGCAACATTCATGTGACTGAAAGACCTGTAAAAGAAGATATACATAGATATTAGATAATTATCCAAACACATACCCAAGCATTGGATACATAAGGGAAATATTCAAGGCACATCTAGTCACTAGTAATTTTCGTAAAATAAAATTTGTCACTGCGATGATGTCTAACTTTTGAACGCAGCTGTTCAATTTTTCATTTATGATTGATTAGATGTGCTGGCGACTACATAACTCAGTCCATGATAATTGGACACTGAAGGTGTAACTTTCTTCCCGAAAATAGGTCCTTAATGTATATGTTTTTATCCAGTTGGCTCAGTTCGCATACATAGGCATCGTTGTTATAAGATGATAAACAAAATGGTAACGATACTTTATTCTGCTCCTTTTGCTTGAATATTGTTCATCGTCGATGATTATTGCGAGAAAACGGTAGCTGCATAGCAAGTTTACTTCAATTATTGGGCGCATGTTGTTGCCTGTTCAAAATGTGCCTTTGTGCGGATTCACTTTGGGGCTGTCGACCATGTTGTACTATGAGGATATACGCAGATATAATTAGCTGCTCATACAAACTCGAGTCATTTTTAATAGTTATAATCACCTCGTGTAGTGATTCTAATTTTAGTTTAACTCTTTATAAATTGATATATATATATATACATAATAATAATTAATCATATGCTATTATTATAAGAGCTGACGCAATTCGCGTTACTTTTCCTTCTTTTTTTCTTCACATTTAAAATGGATATATACTTCATTCGGTTCATGTACTCATGAAATAGACTTTCACTGATCCAATTTGGTCAAGAAATTCTGAGCCGAAAAGAAACTCTTCACCCAAACCCTCGATAATGAACCGTATTAATAAAACATAAGTTGGTTTATGCTTGCAATGAGCATTTACTTGAATTTAATTACCTTGAATTATCAACCAGGTTAACTCAACTGAGTGTTAAATATATAATCATTGACAGAGTTCTCTAGATTGGTCAGCCCTCGAATTTTATCTATTTCTTTGACGTTCGTGAGGTGCTGTAAACTGCTGTATTATGAGGTGTAACTGCTGTATTATAGAATTATAATATCCACATACAGTCTTAGAATTTTGTTTTACATATGTGTACCAAGTTTCAGAGTGATCCGTCCGTAAATAGCCGAGATAAATTTTACCCCAGACGCTCCCCTTAAAATGAAGCTGTAATTACTTCAACCCATATCTCTTCCATTTGGCGAACTTATTAATCATGAAATAACATTCTTCTACCTGGTGCAGGTACATTCCAAAGGATGTATATGGTTCTTGTGGTAGTAAGACGTGTGGAGTAAGCCTTCATCTTCGTAATCATGGGAAATTCGACAATGGCTCCTGCAACCAGGTCATAGGAGAGTATTACTTCTACCTCGCCTTCGAAAACGCCTTGTGTGAGTAGTTATGTCACTAATGATGATAGTTAAAGTAAAACTATCGAACATGTTTCAAACGTGGTCTGCAATTTCATAGCTCTGATGCTACGTATGCATGTATAAACTGAGCGTGGACTCCAGAAATACTTTGAGAGTCAAATTTGTGCCATGATCTCTGTTACCCTTAGTACGAACAGGTAGCGTTACGGTACATGGTCAGCACGAACAGCTGGCGTTACGGTACATGGTCAGCACGAACAGCTGGCGTTACTATACAGGGTCAGCACGATCAAGTGGCGGTACGGTACATGGTCAGCACGATCAAGTGGCGGTACGGTACGAGTAAACTAAGATGCGGCAGTGATAAGGTACATTGTTACTGCTATCAGGTAAGTGTTACAGTTCGAGTTTACTAGATTTTGTAGCGTTACGGTTCAAGGTTACTACGAAATGGCAGCCTTACTTTACTCCTAAAAATTATGGTCGCCGCAGGTGCCGATTACGTGACAGAAAAGCTGTACTTGGCGTTGACGCGTGACGTGGTGCCTGTGGTGTTTGGGGGTGCCGACTACCATTTTTATGTTCCGCCAAATTCAGTGATCAATGCCCTGGACTTTGCCAGCCCTAAGCTGCTGGCGAACTTTCTGTTGGCAACCGCAAACAATAGAACTGCTTATAACAGGTAAATCTATTTGCATTGGAAACCATTTTGGCGGTGACAATCGAACGATGATGTTGGACGGCATTTTGTTCTACTAGCTATTGCTTGTAGCTAACAAACCACGGTAAATGATAATCCTCACTTGGATTTAAAAGGCATGTGGTTGCAGGGTCAATTATGATCATCTTTATTCACGATTACGTCGATGTAGCATGCACACAAGGTGAAATACGATCGACTTTATTGACAAATTCTATGATGTCTCAAGTACACATAGTTAATTGTCAGTGCTGCGTAGTTTGAGAATACAAATCTTCATGTACGAGTATTTACCGAGGACGAGAGCTGTGCGGGGGAAGTAGCAAGTCTATAACAGGGCTGAGTAATTTAGCAGATCCCCCCAGTAACATGCACGACCGCCGCGATGCACCACTCATTACTACTCTCATATAAGGTCAGGTTCACACCATACTATCATACTGCCGGGCGCGTGCAAGGCACATGCCAGTCACGGCCTCAGCCCAATATTCTTTACTGCATTTCCATAGAAGCATAGGCATGGCAGGTGCCTCGCACAACTGGTGTAAATGCTTCTACTGAAATGCAATAAAGAATATTGGGCTGGATCGAGACTGACATGCCAGGCATGTGCTCGGCAGTATGGTGTGAACCCGGCTTTAGCAGTATACTTGTCTATTCATCTGTACCGTAGACACCCTGTATCATGACAAGTCTAAGACAGAGTGCGTTTACTTATCCTTCGCATTGTCATCGAATTCCAGTCCTTACGATAAACATATATACAATGTAATAAATAAGTAAGACCCTTACATTTACCCCCCCCCCCCTATCCCGAAAGTGTAACATTGCATACTGACAAAGTGTCACCAGATCATACGATTTTCTCTCCTGACGTTATTATAATTATTTATATGGTCAGTTCAGTGAGATAGCGTGGCATCATAAGGGGGCAGATGAAATGCATAGTTTGACCAGTGTATACTCTTGTATGTGATGTGATCTGGTCGTGAGACCGCATGTTCACGTGGGCTATGAAATTCCATGAGTATTTGGCCAACCAAACTCCATTGCCAAGACTGATGAATATGAAATTTGGCTCGTTCAATTCGTAGCTGAATTCCTGAAGTTTCATTTCTAAATTTATACTGAATTGTAAAGGAATTATTGGCAATGTGAGTTTGATGTCCATCTGCAGTTACTTCGCGTGGAGGGAGGACTACGAAGTAGATATTGGGTTTCCGTTTCGTCCACACATCTGTGATCTGTGCGCCAAACTGCACCAACATCCAATGGTGCACCAAAATGAGAGGCAAGACAACTACTTTATATCTTATACTTTTTTCTTTTTTTAATGTCACTCGATTGCTTGAATCGTAAATTCACTAATATATTAAGACTAAATAAAATTTCCCAAAAATTTGCCATATCTTTACTGAAAACTCATAAACACAGTGGCTAAAGCTTAAATTTTCGGAAAAAAGCAAAGCAAGGAAAAAGGGGCGAAATCTATACACAATTTCATATGGATACGAGCTTAAGGCTGCATTCAAATTTAGACACCGTTTGAAAATGTACAATGATCATAAAATAAACATATCGGAAGCACTGGAAATGGAAGTTGAAATTTTAAAGTCACTATAGGATACTGGAACGTTGCGCTGCTCGACTTGGGTGGTCCAGATATACTCCCTATTTTTATTCGATCGTCTCTCGATAACAACTATAGAGAACATATTAACAACGGTATCATACAGTTGCACACATACCCAGTATAGCTGCGCCATCATCATCAGTAAACGGTGAAGAGTTGTTAAGAAATTATATTGCATCCACCTCATCTGTAGTCCGATGAAAGAACGATGCCGCTCCCAAGACTCGAACCAGGGTTTGTAAGATCCATGGTAAGAGCCTCATCGCAGCGCGCTAGGACGACATCAGCTCTAGTCCAGAATTTGGACAGACTGAAAAAATAGTATTTTATTTTCTCGACTATTCAGATTAATTTTCCAGTTTTTTAAGAAATGCTTTAATTTTTAAAATAAATAAACAGTTTTATAGGTCATTTACTTATATAGTTGAACCATCAAATGCATTAATACTGGTTCTTTGCTGCAGTGAAATCGTTGTTTGTACATACATTATTCGGAAAAACTATATAATCAGGAGTTTTTCTTGCCCTTTAAAAAAGTTTCTCTAAAACAGTAATATCCGAAGTGTGATATACGAGGGAGTTCTAGAAGGTAAGAAGACAATTTCGGGGAAGTTACACTGAGAGAAAAAGGCCCCCTGTTTTGAAACACTTGGGTGTTTCAAAGCCTCCCTGAGCTTGACGCGCGTATATATGTGCGGCTAGCGTCGCGTGGTTAGTGCGCCGAATGCTGTCATAGGAGGTGGTTGTGTGGAGCTGCCGCACATGAATGCCATGAATCTACACTCCATGCGGTTAATTGACCTAACTTAATTTGGTTAATTGTTTCAACTCACTGCTGTTCTTTTGTCAATAGTAATGTTAACGAGCGACGTCTATACCATTCAATCACACAAGAAATTGATCATAAAATCAAAGATTTATTCTGGTAGTACCGCGCGCAAGACAAGGCCAATACTGCAGCTCTATGTAGTTGCCGTCTGTGTAGCAGAGTGTATTAAGGTGCCTGCTCGCGAGCGTTTGGTTGCAGTCTTGGCAGAGGTTCGAATCTCGGCGGGTGACTCATAGTTTCTTCAACCAGAGTTCGATAGAAGTGAGGGCAAAGAGTGTAGTTTGATGATGATTGTACATACCGATATAAATTGTGTAATAAATGTGTATGAAAGAATGAATATGTGACTAATTCCGCTGCGAAGGAGAAAAGCGTTGAAATCAGATAGAGACAGAGAAATATAGTTTTCATTATTTTGGTAGGTAGGCGGCCATGGATTAGACTGGGATCAACCGGAGGAGTAGACTATGTTAAAATAATTTCGTCTGGCGCTGGAAACTGGACAAGGATATTGCAGAGATTCTGGAAAGGTCTCATTCTCCGTATACTTTCGTGTTCTAACGTCAAAACGCCTGGGTGTCTCAAAATCGCAAATTTCGAGTTACCTGAACGTTTTTAAAACGCCTGGCTGTTTCGATTTGGGCACGATCGCTCGGGGAGGCTTTGAAACACACGAGTGTTTCAAAACATGGGGCCTTTTCTCTCAGTGTAGATACTTTCTTATGCCATAATATTTCCTGCCTAACTTGAGGTACCTGGCAATGAATTACTACAGTAGCCATACTCCACCGTCATAGTCTTAGTGGCTGACCTTTGATTCGAATTGTACAATTATTTGCTTCACTTATTAAGTTTATTGAGGATAATAAAAAGGAAATTTTGAAGCTTTTGTGATGGCCTAAATAGCACATTTGAAAACGAATGCTGACGAATAACAGAACTAACATGTACGTACGAACGCACGCGTTCAGGGTTTCTGCTGGATACATGACTGTATGAAGTTTTGCAGGTGCTTGAAAAGCAAGCCTTTGAACGTCTGGATGGCATCCACTCGTGTCATCTGCTCTGTCCTTGAGGTGCAGCCATTAGGCAGCTTCAGGCGCGGTAGACTTGGCCAAACTCATTCTTTTCATACTCTCAGTTGACGATAAAGTTGGAAAGGAGATTTTGACTAGTCACTGACTTTGATTGGGTGGACAAGCAGACCAACGAAAGTTTTGATAATGCCAAAATTAGGGTGTATTTACGTACCACAGAACTTTTTTGTCGTAAGTACAAAAAGTTACGAAGTTTTGATAATCCGGCCCCTGCTTCTCATAAACATCGTCCTCACCAGCCCCTCGCAAACATCAACATTGCAATAAAGTGGAACAAATAGTTGCTAAAATGCCATTAGCACAGTTCTTCGAGAAAGAGGATTCCACTTTCGGTCACAAAGATAAACTGCAGGCCTTGGAGATGTGAAAACCATAGAAGGAACGATGAACTCCGGAATATATCGGGTCATTCTTGAGAGATGTCTCGTGAAGTCAGCCGAAAAATTGAATCTTCCTCGAGGTTGGATATTCCAACGAGACAATGCCCTAAGCACACTGCTAGGGCAACTCTTGCATGGTTTAAACTTTAAGGAGGGGAACATTGAGTTATGGGAATGACCAAGCCAATCACCTGACTTCCATCGCATTGAAAATCTGTGGCGGGAATCGAAAGTTAGGGCACATGGAGAGAGATCCAAGAAACCAATCCTCATGAGAAAACGCATACGATTGAATAAACAAATAGCTGAATCCACTTGCAATCTGAGGAGACAAATACTTGTAGATGTGCTCAAGGAAACCAAACTCAGGCTGCAGGACTCGCACAAGATGGAAGAACAAGCTGCCGAGGAACGAGTAGTGGAGATAATCAGAGAAAAACCGAAGTCGTTTAAGTCGTTTTTCAAATACGCCGTGCCTAAGGTTAAAATAAAGACGCCAGTGGGACCGCTGAAGGATAACGATGTCCTTGTCGGAGACGACCAGGGCATTTGTGAGTTACTGAGATCGAAGTTTGAATCAGTCTTCAGTAACCCCCGCTACTCAAAAGAGGAGAATGAAATCGTAGTTCTCCAGGAGCTGCCAGGTGGAAGGGGGTTGGAAAACATTGAGTTTGGTCCAGAATATATGGAAATAAGTATCAAAGAACTGGCGACGTTCTCAGCACCAGGACCCGACGGAATTCCGGTAGTGTCGTTTAAGAAGTGTGTCGTAACGCTGAAGGCACCGCTCACAATGCTCTGGAAAGCCTCGATGATGGATGGAATTATTCGTGAGGGCCTAAAAAAGGGACTGATAACGCTATTCCTCAAAGGAGGCTCGAGGGACAGACCTCAAAATTACAGACCTGTGACCTTGACCTCACAGGTGATCAAGGTTATTGAGAATGGAAGTAGTGGCCAGGAGGCTTGTCCAGTACATGGAAGAGGCTGACCTGTATTATAACGGACAACATGGTTTCCGACGAACATGTTGTCCGTCGACGAACGACGGACAACATGGTTTGATAACTTACCCACTCATCTATCTCGTCATTTGCGGACGATACAAGAGTGCTGATGAAGATCAGAGAGGACACAGCCTGCGAGAAATTACAGGACTACTTGACGAAAATCTATGATTGGGCCCTGTTGAATAACATGCAATTCAACGGCACCAAGTTCGAAGTAATAAGATGCAGAGTTGGCACAGAGATCGGGATGCCAAATCGCTACTTGGCATCGGATGGCACAGAAATTTATGAGAAGCAACTAGTTTGACATCGCGGAATGTTGACGTGTACTGAAGCCACGTTTAATGACCACATCGAGGAAATAGTTGCGCAAGGGAGACAATGGATGGGGTGGATCTGGCAGACATTTCGAACAAGAGAAGCAGTGCCAATGATTACACTCTTCAGATCCCTAGTGCTCCCTAATACTGCTGTCAGCTTTAGGCGCCTCTCAAGGCGCGTGCGGTGCGGAACCTGGAGGCAGTGCAGCAGACCTTCACGCACAGGATCAGCGGCATGAGGGAGATGGACCTGAACTACTGAAAAGGCTAAAACACCTGGGACTGTACTCACTAGAGACGAGAAGAGAGAGGTATATCAATCTGTACACTTGGGAGATAATAACCAGACTGGCCCCCAACTTTGAATGTGAGACCTCCAAAATTGTGACGCACTACAACGAAAGGAGGTGGAGACTGCGCAGGATTCCCCATTCAATAACCGAGCCGTTACCAGAGTACAGACTCTTCGTGAGGGATCACTGTCCGCGGTAGGACCAAGGCTGTAAGAGACAACTGGATAAGAAGATCCCGGATTGTCTAGTAATTGAAAACTACTCTTAGCAGGTGACAAGCAAGCAATCTTGCATCAGCTGGCTCAAAGGAGGGCAAATGAATGGAACACGTCCAACGTTACATCCGGGACCCGAGGGCGGGGTGACCTGCCTAGCGACGACTCGGAGACGGAGAAGGACGACGAAGGCGGAGCACCAGCTTGACCGTGGACTACGAAGTTCTAAACCAGTGGTTTCCAAAGTGGGCGATATCGCCCCCCTGGGGGCGGTGGGAAGATCTGGGGGGCAGTGAGGAAAAAAGAGGCAGTAGGTGTGTGGCAGTCCGCGAAGACGAAGTCAGAAGTTTGTACGTTTGTTTGACGATTTGTACACAACACATGCAGAACACGACTCTGACTCGAATAAATTTTCACGAGCTAAAAATAACCGTTTGGTAGTTAATTTATATTCAAAATTTCGTTCGAATCTGTTCAGTAGTGTGGAAAACAATTTTTGATTACTGCA